ATATATATACTGTATATCGCTATGTTGCCCAATCAATTAAATATTTTTGAACCAATTTATCTCCCATGTTTCAAAACTGCTTAGGCATCATATTCAGTTTTCTGGGGCCCTAATCTTTGTGCTAATCCTAACCATATTTATACATGAGAATAGGAAGATATTTTATATGATTCTAATTGAATGTATGCTGACAATAGCTGGATTACAAATAGCACATTTGAAAGCCATCTCAAATCTTTCAGTGGATACCTGGATTAGAAAAGACAAAAAATAAATTTGAGAAACTGACTCACAAACTCAATTCTGCTAAGGTGCTTTAAAAAGGGTACTTTCGTTGATGCAAAATGCCTTTTCATCATACGCTTCCACTTTGTAAACGAGCTACTGAAGTATCAAAGTAACATTTGGAAAGTCTGCTGCGAACTACTCTTGTTTAGGACTTGTAATACACAATTATTTGATTTCTGAAAATGGACTCTCTGACTGTGTTATAATACCTTATACAGGTTTGGTGTGGACATACAATGTTTTGTTATTTGAAGTCCTTACTTTAAAAGATGTATTAAAAATTAACATTTTCATATTAAGGAAGAGTTAGAAATATTATTTCAGCAATAATATGAACGATGACAAGCAATGGCAGAGCCCTGTCCTATTTTATCCTTTTATCAAGCTGGTTTCTTCAGAGCTTATCAATGTAGCACTTGCACAGCAGGCTTTCTGAATTTGTCCCTGGTATGTTTGGTGGTTTTGCTTTGTGTTTGTAAGTGCGATTTACAAATACTGTAATGCTTAATGCTTATTCAACAATTCAGCTAAGGCTTTGGCTGTCTTTGATTTTTGTTGAAAGACACAGGGTTATTTTGCAAACCAAACCCTTAAAAAAGTTTATGTATTTTTTATATTTTATTGATTTTATTGTAATTTCTTTGATTGTTGTGAGCTGCCCAGAGCTGTTGAGAGCTGGGTGGGGTACAAGTTTAATACATTATTATTATTATTATTATTATTATTATTATTATTATTATTATTGAATTGGTAAAATAAACTGAAATCATGATTGATCATGGGTAATTTTTCTTGAATGGTGGGATATGCTTCAGCATATTCCAGACTTCAATACAAAAAGGGAGAAAGGCAAAACAAATAAGTGGGTGATCTAAGATAAAAAGTAAATTTTATTGTATTTATATTTAATTGTATCATTTAAACATAGTTATATAATTACTCTGCATATGTTTACTAATTACAATAATTAATAATGTCACCTTAAAAATTACAAGTCAGTGACAATTAGAGGGGAACACAGGGGCTTCACCTGAGTCTGATGAGCAGCATGCATCAGTAGAACTGCAGATTATGTATCACTCACCCCGTCTTCATGATTCTTTGAAAAATACAGAACAATAATTATTTTGCCAACTGCTTTGAAAGCTATGTATAAATAAAAATTAAATACTGATTCTGTATTTTTCCCTTTCACACAGCATGTGTGAAACTGAATCTCTTTTGCTATTCTCGAGTTGGAGTTGATCACATATTCATCCTGGTAGCATGTTAGTAACACACAAATGGTTTGGAATCTCAATATCTGTGGAGCATTTCTGCCTGTTTACACTTTCCTGAGTATTAAGATCTACTGGGATATGGCCTTTGGCTGTACCACAGGACAGGGCAAAGAAATGTAAGGCAGGGCCTTCTTGGGTTTGGCACTCTGATTATGAAATGTTTTCCTCCCTGTAGCCAGACTGCCACTCTGGTTGTTTTCCTTCCTGCCCCAAGTGAAAGTACTGAAGCTACTGAATTGATCACAAACAGCTTGATGTATCTCAGGCTTTGTTATCGTAAAAAATATCAGTTGCGAAGCATGTTCCTTGTGTAATTTGCTCTTTTTGTGGCATGTGAAAACTGACAGATCTTTTTACCATTATCCAGGAGTTGGTGTCGATGATATGTTCATCCTGGTATCCTGTTGGCAGCATACAAAAGTGAAGGATAGTGTCAAAGACCGGATGGCTAACACTTATTCAGAGGCAGCTGTATCAGTTACTATCACAACTCTGACAGATGTTTTAGCTTTCTACATTGGAATTGCAAGTTCCTTTCCATCAATTAAGTCATTCTGCATCTATACAGGGACAGCTTTTGTTTTTTGCTATATATACAACCTGACATTTCTTGGGGCTGTTTTAGCTCTAAATGGTAAAAGAGAAGAAAGTAACAGGCATTGGCTGACATTCATGAAAGTGGCAAGCATGCCCCAAGATTCTCGGGGCCGTATGTATAACCGATGCTGCACAGGAGGACTTTATGACGAATCTACTGGAACTGAGATTGAACATCCCATGAATGGTTTCTTTAGAAAGTATTATGGTCCCTTCCTTACGCACAGCTGGATTAAAGTAATTGTGGTAGCGCTGTATTTCCTATACCTAGGAAGTAGTATATATGGGTGCTTTAATGTCAAAGAGGGTATAGATCTTCGAAATGTAGCAACAGATGATTCTTACATCGTTCCATATTACGATGTTGAAGATAGATATCTTTCACTGTACGGACCAAGGGTTATGGTAATAGTTACTGAAAGTATAGCGTATTGGAATGCATCTGTTCGTGCTGATCTTGAGAACTGTATGAATATTCTAGAAAATTCATCCTATGTGGAAAAGAATTTTTCAGAGTCATGGCTGAGAATTTATCAAAATGTTGCTAAAGGCATGTCTCTAGATTTAAATGACCATGATGTATTCATTGCAAATTTACCTGCCCTGTTCAGAGTAAATTCAGAATCTCAGTGGAATATTGATATTAATGCAAAAGAAATAGTAGCTTCTCGGTTCTTTATACAGACAGTCAATGTTATAACTTCAGTGGATGAGAAAAATCTCTTAAAACAGCTAAGAGGTATTGCTAAGGACTGTAAGATACCACTAATGGTTTATCATCCAGCTTTTATACACTTTGATCAGTTCCTTGTTATAATTAGTAATACCATTCAGAATGTTCTGATTGCAACCGGAGTCATGTTAGTTATTTCTTTGCTGCTAATTCCAAGTCCTGTTTGCTCTTTGTGGGTAACTTTTGCTATTGGCTCTGTGGTTGTAGGTGTGACTGGTTACATGGCCTTCTGGAATGTGAATCTTGACTCCATATCTATGATCAATCTTGTTATTTCCATAGGATTTTCTGTAGACTATTCTTCTCATATATCTTATGCCTTTGTTTCCAGTAGTAGACTCAGTGCAAATGATAAGGCAATAGATGCCCTTTTCCACCTTGGTTACCCAATTGTGCAGGCATCTGGCTCCACCCTTATAGGAATTTTAGTTCTATCTATGGCAGCCAGCTATGTCTTTAGGACTTGCTTTAAGATAATGTTTCTTGTTATTATTTTTGGGTCTCTTCATGGTCTCGTATTCATTCCTGTGTTTTTAACACTTTTTCATTATTGTGCTTGATTGTCAAATAGACACTACCAAAACAATGGCCAGTACTCTGAAAATTACTCAGTGTAGGAAGGAGCTTGTTTTAAGTGAAAACATGGGACTGCTAACTATTAATAGAGAAAAATAAGCTAAAACTTCCTCCATTTCAGGAAAATCAAATTGCCCATAATGTTCTTATGAGTTCTTGTATATTAATCAGAAAAAATGGACAGAGAAAGTCTATTTTATAATAGGCTGTTCAAGGTTTATTAGAACAATTTTTATGGCATATTGTATTTATTTGTGCATAGTATGGAATACTCAAGATTACTGTCAAGTAGGATCAGAATTGTTCAGATGCCATGAAATGAAACCATTCTGTTTAATGCCATGTGGTGGTGGCTGCCACCAAGTACATGTGGAAGAATGAAATTAAGTCCAGAAAGAAAAGTGGGATGGCTGGCAGTATCATGATCACCGGGCATGACAAATCAGATTCATAAAGAATCTTGGCTCATCTGATATTCAGGTAAGGCTTTGTGAATAGGGAGAGTTTATATTATAACTTTTCCCAGTTCATACTTCATGCCCATCAGTAATGGGAAGAGGACAAGCAGGCCATATTCTAGCAACCAGGCAAGTCTAGCTTTATTGCAAACATCACAAACAGCTGCAAACCACCCATGCGTTGTCTTGTATTTGCCATGTCACCCACACTTGTGGATGAAATACACCTAAAATGAATTCATGTGTTCTTTTTAAGTTTTTCTCTGCAGCTTGTCTTGGTTGAAAGAAGCATTGTGCCATACTTAGATAATACGGTAACTACAAAATAAATCACAAAAGGATAGTTTGTAACCACGCAGATTCCAAGATGGGAATTTCAGATGCATGTATAGGTAACTGTACTGTAAACCAGACTTGATATATTTTCCAAATTTATTCTCAGGACAAGGTAGCAGTTGGAAATATTGGCAAGCATCATAGACCTGACTCCTTATATGTTGCATATGTTTAGATCAAAAATACCCTATGCTAAATAACAAGCCTAGTATCAATAGAATAGAATTTTACATGCATCTGAAAGCTGAGATAGATTATTCAGATCTTCATGATAAATTTCATTTTGTTATTTATGTCGTTTGATATTTGCATTTTCCTCCCCTTCTTTTCAAAGGTGAATGGGTATTAGCTGTCTAAACACAAATATCACTAAATGGTACTGTGGAAAGAAGATTTAATTTGAGCAAGAACATTTTTTGGCTTTTGCTTTTTGGCTTCCCCCCCCCCTCCAGTATTATGTGTGCCCAGATGTATTTAAATATAATTCCAGATGTATTTTTGATAATGGAGGACTGACTCTTCATTACCAACATACTTTACACACTGTAATAATGATTCCACTTCAAGAAAAGTTGTAACAGCTTTTGTTTGTTTTTTGTTTGATTGATTGATTTCTATCCTGGCTTTCCTCTGAGAGCTCAAGGCAGGCTTATGTGAGGACACTGATGTCTGCAGATTGTTGGCGGGGGGGGGGAGATACACCACATGGATCATGATGTCCTTGTGGTTTCTACTAAATGCCTGTGCGTGGAGACTTCCCTTCATGTTATCCCCACAGCAGAACCCTGTGACTTAGGATGGGGTAAGAGTGTGATTAGCTCAAAGTCACTCTGTAAATTTTCCTGATGGATCTGAACCTGGGTCTCCCTAGTCCTATCCCAAAACCTAAACCATTACACCATGTTGGCTGCCACCATTTATCAATATTTGCCACCTGACAAACAAAGGAAAAGTTAACATTTTCAGATACTTGAACTTGTGTAAGTCCTGCATAGTTCCACTTGAACTATATGTGGAACAGCTCATACTAAACTCATCACATACTCACAAAATAGGATTGATGATCTCACCCAGAGGCCTTGTGTAGATGTTAAATAGGAGGGATGAGCCCTGTGGTACCACACAATGGTGGGACCTAACCCTTCCCGCACTACTACCACCCACAGGACTTACCCGTTCAGGAAAGAGAAGAACCAGTGAAAACAACTGTTTGTGTACACCCTCAAAATGCTTTATCTATTATCGTTTGCAGATTTCTTAATTTAAGCCAAGAATTGTTTTACTTCATATTCCCAAAATCAGCAACTAGACCTGCACATTTCATCCAATTTTTTCATGAAATTTTTAAAAAGTTATTAGCGATTACTTTAAAAAAAATAAGAATGAGACTGTAATATAATTTCCCTTTGCTTCCTTAAGACAATTCAACTAGACATTAAATATTTGTCAGTAAATCACATAGACAGGAAATCTATTTCAGTTCTTGTGATTTATGAGTAATTGGCAGAGGCATAAGAGTGCACAGTTTTCTATAGCTTTCTTTCTGACAGACTTTCTTTTTGATTACATAGTCCTCAATATTTTCAAACTCAAAAAATCTTGTGACTCTCTTCACTTTCATCTTTGAATCTTCTATTCAACTCCTGTGAAATCTTATTATACTGAAATATTTAAAGAACTGACTCCATTTGTTCTCCTGGATGAACTTTAGCAAGTTTTAAATACTGCTCTTTTTCATGTCTGGCTAACTCAAAAGCATCAGTTACTATATAGAGCAAAAAAAGGAAAAAAAGCTTTGGAATCTGCAAATTCAGCTGCAGACAAGTGCAACATTAATCGCATAAGGAACAATATTAAAAAATGTAATCATACTTCATCGCTTTTATACCAGGAAACAAAACCCAGCTGTCTTGTTAACACTCTTAAAAGAGATTAAAACAACTAGTCCCATTTCTTTCCATATCCCAGCATTTTAGTCTGATTAGGTCAGGCCTTATCCAGATTTTGAGGTTAGCAAAGCAAGGAAAATATTTCATGTAGGCTCTGAAAAAGGGGGGAGAAAACCCATGTGTTAATGATAACAGTTTTAAGAATCTTTATACTTCCATTTAAAAAAAAAACTTTCTCCATATAGGTATAGATATTGTCTTGACAATGTGGGGGCAGTGAAATCTCTCATATGACAGAGGAAGATTCAGCATTATGTCCTGTTACTATCTTTCCCTTTGAACTAGCAGTACAAACAGGTAAGTTGAGACAAAGAGATCATATAATTGATTTTGATTCCATTTTTCTTGGTGAAAAATCTGGATTAACTTGGTACAGCTGTTCATATGCCCTCCGGCATAAAGAGCAAGCAGCTTTGCATATGACTTTTTTGTCATTTATTAACAATATTCATTACCCTACCCAACAATAAAATAGAAAAAAGCCAACAAACTATTTAAAACATAATGAAAATACAAAAACCTTAATAAAGCAGAACTTGTTCAACTGATTTAACTGTTTAGTTAACATTAGTTAAGTTTATCAACCAATAATTTGCCTGCATAAAATGCTGGCAGAGGGTTAACAAACAGGGAGTATGCCTGACTTTCATTGGCAGGGAGTAGCAAGCACCATAGAGAAGGCCTACCTTCCCACAGATGCACCTCTGATGATCAAGGGCTGTTGCCACAGGCCCAAAAAGACCCGCTACCTGAGGCAGGACGGGCTTTATGCTGCTGCTTTTCTACTGCTGCCTTGATGTGCTTCCCATATCTTCTTTCCTGGTGGTGGCAATACCACCACTCACCTCCAACTGGCCATCTCCAGAGGGTGCTCTGTGGCAACCATCTCGCAGTATGTTTTTCCTGAGGGTTCCCCCAGAGCAACAAGCTAGAGGGTGCCCAGCAGTGCAGCCAGCTGCTCTGAAGAACTGCCCATAGGTACAGTGGATCAGCTGCCCCAGGTAGCAGATTGGGAAGGTGGCACATAAAGTGCTTGGCCCAATTCATTGCCCATTCATCTTGGTCTGCCATTGAAAGTTGCTACTTTATTTTGCCAAATGGTAGGATCAGCCCTGCCTGCAGATCTTAAAGCTTAGGCAGACCCATAAAGAAGGACATCATCTTCCAAAAACAGTTTTATAAATGATTAACTGTAAGCGGTGCCTGTAAAAAAAAAAAAGGCAAACATTAGCCAGGAGAGGTTGCATATCTAGTTTAGCTAGGACATAACTAAGACATAAATTGCCATGAATACATCTGACATTTCTTGGAATGCACAAGTTAGTACATTAGCTTTTGCTGCATGGATACATGCTTACCCAACATCAAATCTAGGAAATCAGACTTTGAGCTGAATCTAACAGTATCTTCCAACCATGAACATAACTCTTACAGAGAAGATGCAGGTAGCAAAAACCTCTACAGCACAGATTCCTTGATCTGCCTTCTGGTTTACAAGAAACACTTCTATCTCACCAGGTAAGTTTCACATAATGTATATGACATTAACTGAATTACAATGGAAGCGGAAACCTGGAAAGCAAATGATCTCTCCATGCCTGACTATGGTGAAATGCCATCTGCTGACATGTCAAGAGCTATTTGTATCCTCTCACACAGGAGAAACAGGTGGGTATGAGGGAATAATTTTCACTGCCACCTACTTTTCTATGCACAGCAACCAAAGGAATTCCCATCTGTATTCTAAAGTAAGAGTCCAGAAGCAAGTTTCCCAGTTTAATGAGCACTGGAAGCGAGTGAAAAGAACAAGGACTGAAAAAGCAGGAAGCATCAACTTTTTAGTTGAAAAAGTCTGAATGGGCAAGAGAAATACCAACTAACTTGAACAGATAGCCAGAAAAGAAAATTAAATTCAGGGAAGACCAAATTACATGCATATAAAAAGAACATGAAATACAAATTTACTTTAGGAATTGCTCTTTCCCATAGAGTGTCAGCCAATTGTGGTTGGAGTTGCTTTCCCATTAAAAGAACAGAATCATGGCTTGGGAATTCTCTTTAAAATAAAGGGGAGTATTGCCCCATCTTGGTCACATATTGTGCAGTAAGGCTGGCTGTGCTGAACAGAGCTTGCTCCCCTTCCGTGCACAACATTGCAGCATCCAGATATTAATGGCGTCTGACAGCATACGGGCTATCAATGAAGGCTACCAAACGGTAAAAAAGTCCCTTCAAACCTAG